GTTTGTTTTGCGAAACGGTATTCTACAATAGCTTAGAATACACCGTCTTAGACACGCCGGTATATTCCAGACTACAATCGCACGTCCTTAGGCTAACCAGTTATAAAATCTAAATCGAGTTACTTGAATTCTTTGACTTAATTGGCTAAAAATACAGTCCACCGACCATGTTTTCGTGCGATTTCAGCATCAAAGTGTGCACATGGTTATTGTCAGCGGAAACCTGATCAAATGAGCATGCGCGCGGGCTGAGTGAATATAATAAGAGAAGCAAAAGTAAAGAAAAGTAAAAGTTCCGTATTTGCCGCCGTTGGCGTAAACGCCAAGCTTAATCTCAGCAACACTGACTCTGCTCAACGCGATACCTCCCCAGAGAACCTCTGCTAAAAAAGCAAATCCGAGACTCCAAGACCTTGCGAAAAAAATTCGAGACTCCGAGACCGAAAGAAACACATGAAAAGCGAGACTTCGTGACTCGTCAGTAAAGCTTCCGAGATTTCGAGATCAGATCAAAAATTTCCGAGATCCACGATTTTCTGGGTACCATTCGCCACCCCTTCTACTGTCCTCCGATATCAAGTAACTGACCTGATATGCCTACGATATCATGCTCACTTGGCCTGATATGCCGCCGAAAAGTACCAAAAAGGTACAATTAAGTATAAAAATAGGCACGATTTGTAGTGTTTGGAACTCCTGGGATCCACGGACAGACGTATGGCGACCCGTATGTTGCGCAGAAGGGTCAGTCTGTCAGCCCTATTTGTTGGCCCTCCGCTGTGACTGTTATAATATAAGCAACATCAACATTGATCACTGTATTCGATTTGACTGGTTTGGCAATGATATTGTATGCAAGTGAATATGTGAAATGTACACAACTTAGGCAGTTATGAGAATAACGGCTGACAAAAAACATCTGTTACTATGATATATGACGGACTGGAGGATATGGCCCCTTTTCACATTGGAAACCTCTTTCTGGTTATATCAGAGAGACAGCGTGCGCATGCCATCAATCTTTACCAGAGTAAAAACTTGCTGAAAATTCTCGTCGCCTTTTCGAAGACGATGACACCCACGAATCCAAAATGACTGGTGATTGTTCCGTTTTCGGAGGGAAAGCGCTGTTTTCAAATTTCTCCAGGGTACTATGGACGGGGCCTAAGAGGGCGCCATCCATTCAACTTAAAATTCCGAAAATTTCTAAACCTGGTACGGAAATTACCCTGGAAAATTTTCAGAAAAGTGAACCACTGAACCGAAAATTTCGGAAATTTTGAGAACAAAAATCAAATGAAACTGAAATTCCAGGTAAGAAATTTCCGAAAGTGTCGGTGTTTGTTTTGCGAATGGAATAAAGGTTACTTACAGAAACGCTGCTTATGAAATGTATTCAGAATTTATTTACTTATGTCGAAGGCTATAAAGTCCGTGTTTCTCTGTATTTTGCAAAAGGAAAACTATTGCTTGAATTAAAAGCTACGCTTAAGGGAAATCAAATTCATTCATCTTGTTGTTCTTGCATGCATTGAGTTTAAACTCAAAATTTCTGATCAGCTTACTGTCAACTCGAAAGAAATCTTTTCCCTGCTTTTTTAAGAGGCCCTGCGCCTAAGAAACGACCGATGATTTCCGGCTAAAAAATAAAATCGGCCGATTTTTATCTCCCAAGTAGAGGTTACCGAATACTATTTAAAAATGAATTTCTTTTGTTTCAGTTTCGCTTTAAACCAAAAATATCGAGCCGCAAAGTTTTTCC